GGTGGATTCTTGCTATCACATTGTTCTCCCAGCTGAGAAGTTCAGGCTCTGTGTATAGGAGTGACAAATGAGTTGATAAAGATGCAGTGAGGTTCTCTGGGCCTGTGTGTGTGTGTGTGTGTGTGTGTGTGTGTGTGTGTGTGTGTCCCCCTTGGTGCTACCTGGGCCACTGGCTGACTCCACCTAAGCAGAAGTTTCCTGAGGAAGATATTAGGAAGACAGGAGAGGAGTAAGGTCTCTAAGGATCTCTGAGCTTTTCTCACCTGACACCTACCTAAACAAAGAGCTGAACAAGAGATGAGAGTAATCTCAGGATCTCAGGAAGTTTAGAGACACCCAGGAGCTCCTGGGGGCCCCCGGGTGGGCATAGAGCGATGCCATCATGGTGCACATTGTCAGCCTGGAGAGAAGCAGTGATCCAAGGGGATCAGAGGCTCTCACTTCAGCCTCCTGCCTGGTTTGGGAAATCTCTGCACCATATTTGACACCTGCTCGTTTAGACTCTGCCTAATGTCTTCCAGAGAAAGGGGGCCCTGAACTTTGTGGAGAGGAAAGGGGTGGAGGAACTTTTTACTCTGAATGCTCGACTACTCGAAGCTCACTGTACACAAATAAACCTATGGTTCAAGTTCTCCCTCTTCTGCCTCTCACGGCTGCGCAGAGTTCGGGGCAGGGAGCAGACAGTGGACTGGATTGTGCCTTCTCTCCTAAAGCCAAGAATCTGCGCTCGTGTGGGCTGTCAGCTCTTGGGTTGGAAAAATGTGAAAATCACATATCCTTAATTTCATTTTCTAGGAGGGGAAGTAAAACACAGAGGTTGGAAGGCGGCAGAGGAGAACCAGCCTGGAAGGTTGCTGGAGGGAGGCCATAATGTTGCCCTGTCCATCTACCCAGCCAGCCTGTGCACCCCTCGATGGCATCCCCCAGAAGTGGCCAGCCAGCCCCTCTCTCTGAGCATTTTCAAGGACAGAGGGCTTCTAACTTTTGAAGCCATTAGTTGAATGAAGACCTTTCCTTTTCTCACAGGGAATGGCCTGCGATAAAGAGAAGAGAGACAGGTCCCCACCGTGTGAGACGTCTCCCGTGAAAGACAAGGAAATCATTGAGGGGGAAGAGTCCCTGAAGAAGTGAGCAAGCAGCAGAAGGCCCTCCGCGGCCCTCTGTGGTGTTTTTGCCTTCGTGCTCACAATTGCAGCCTTCACAGAAGCAGTGGGTCGCGCCTGAGCGCAGTGCAGCAACTTTCAAGAGTTGGAAATAACCTGCAATGAGATGTCAGGCGTTGGTACCTTGCCACCCAAGTGCCTCTTTAACCCAGACCGTGTGTGTATGTCTTCAGTCTGGAAACTTTTTCATCCAAAAATACCCCAACTTGAACATGCCTTTTAAGCAGAGCTTCATTTATTTCCTTTTCAGAATTTTTGACAGAGCCACAGGAGTCTCCAAGTCACCTCTGTCAACCTTCTCATCTTACAGAGAGAAACTGAGGCCCAGGGAGATAGAGCAATTCATCTAAAGCCATGCTCCTCCAACAATGTTAGGAGGCATCTTGGCTCACTTTCAGCTCCCTGCAAAGTTTAATTTCCCCTTAATCTTCTCTCCACTGACCTCAGAAGACACGCCCCACTTTCTAAGAGAACTCCTAATTTTTGAAGTTTCTAACTGGACCCTGGGCAGTGAAGGGGATGGGGAAATTCACTTGAATGTCCACCATGTTGAGGGATAGCCTGACTCAAGGGTGACTCTAGCTCTTCCAGAAATGACTTCAACAAGACATTGCACAAAAGACATCGCTTCCAGAAAACTCAAGACTTAGCCAAAGAAATCTAAGAATACTTCTCTTTGAGATGAGTGGGGTCAAGGGGTGGAGTTGTAGTGGTCAAGAAGAGTTCTTTGCTAGCACCTCTAACCCACCATGAGCAAAGTCACTTTTTGTGTGTGTGCCTCAGTTTTCTCAAATCTAAAATGGAGATCCAGGTCAAGTGTATCCAATCAGATTGAACTTCAGAATCAAATATGCTGTAATTGAATACTGGATTTCAAAGCTCTGAATGAAGACAAGTTATAACATATCTTACTCATTGCTTTGGTGTGGGTTATAATCCAAGCGATAGCATTGGATTTCTTGAGTTCAATAAAATGTTTTAAAATTGCAAAATAAAATAAAGTAAAATTAAATGGAACGTATGTACAGGTGACACAGAGCACTGCCTATTTAAGATGCCATTTTAGAGAAAGTAGCAGCTCTTCTATGAGGTAGTCCCTAAGCTTACCAAAGTCCTGTCTCCCCAAGTTATATCCTGAAAATGAGCAAGGTTAACCATGGTAATAACACTTGGGGTCTAGAGAAATTGAATGATTAAACATGGAGGATTAAACACTTTGTGTTTTAATGACAGATGTGCAGATGGGAAATTCCAGTGTGGGCAGTTGTCTTTAGAAGAAGGGATAATTAGACAAAAATATCATCTTTATGGGTTTCCACACTTTGGTGGTTTTTTTTTTTTTTTTTTTGAGTCTAGGGGATGAAGATTTGATCACAGAATTCCTAGAATGAAAGACGATCAAAGCATAGATAAACTCTCAGAATTTCCACAATTCTGAGAAAGGTGCCTTCGCTAACGTGCCATGTTGGTAACATCAGGAGAATTCTCTTTTTAACCACATCCCAGGACCCAGTAATACAGAGATTAAAAAACACCAGGTTGACTAATACATCCTCTGCAACTCATCACCATTTTAATTGGTGGCTTTGGAAATTTTCAGAATGAAAATCTGCCTTATGAATCAGCTAGAAATTGCATCTGTTGATGGTCTGTTTGATTTTGTTAGAGACCTCTCCCCTCTGAGGAGTAAAAAGTCTTGTTTATTTTAAGACTGGGCTCCTCCTCTTGGAGAAGAAAGTCTGAGATGAGATTATTTCTTACCCTGGGGTGGTTCCTAAACCAGATATTAATCCCATAAACTCAATTTATTTCATCCTCATTGGTCACCAGGTTCTCATGTGCCTCTTGACTGGACTATGGAAGGGGCCTCCCAACATGTCTCTGTGCACCTGATCTCTCTCCACTCTGTGCCAGAGTCACCTCCACAGAAGTGTCTGCAGTGAACAGAAAGAGTGTAAATCAGGGAGCCTTGGGTTTGAACCCCAACTCTGTCACTGTCTCTGCGACTTCTGAGTTTTGGGTTCTTCATCCAGTGAGTTTGTGACATCCACATTACAAAGTGGGTATAAAGATTAAGATACAACTTACACGTCTGGCACATAGAAGGTACTCTATAAATGGTCATTTTTATTTTTGGGTAGTTTTCCATTGACTACCAAATGAAGTTAAAATTTATAACTTGCTATCCAAGGCCTTGGATCATTCATTTGACCCCATCCTATCTTTTCAGCCTTGATCTCCCATGTCCCCATATACCCATCCAGTGTCAGGGGGCACAGTGGACCACTTGCTGTTCCCTTGTGCTCTGCTGTGTCTTTGTCACAGGGACCTTTCTCTCTGAGAAAGTTAAAGCCTTAGGAAAATTTATTTACCTAAGGAAATTTATTCATATCCCAGGGCTCTTTTTGCATGCTGCCATCATTTACATCTGGCCCACATGGATCTCATCGCATTCTAATCTGAAGTGCTGTTGTGATACCTGTTCCTTTATCTCCCTTGCTAGGTTATAAGTCTATTAAGGACCGAGACTATGTCTTGTTCATTTTCATATTTTCTACAGTGTTGAGAAGGGGATTAAGAGGTTTTTGAATAGATTTTTGGAGACCCGAGTGAATGAAAGAGTCTTCGTATTACTTCCACTTGCCTCACTCCCACCAAGACCATTCATATCTTCAGATCACCAGCGACTGACAATAGCACAAGTTTACTTGAAATGTGTTTCCCAGAGATAGGTCATGACTTATTGTAAAGACTTTTCTGTTCTAACTTGAACTGTCCTCCCACTTTGCAAAGACCATGCTGAAACAGAAGTCATGTTATAAGCCTTTCAAAAATCATGCCCTCTTCAACTCCACAGTGAAGAAATTCCTATCCCTGGGTCAGTTCACAGCCCAACATAATCTGGCTACTTCACCAAATAAGCAAAAAGACTCCTTAGATGCATTATCAGGTTTCACTTCTTAACACATCTTTCTGTGGCCAGTTAGCATTATTATACATCTAGAAGTTAAGGCAATGAAATTGTAGACTTTGATACCTTATCTGTCTTCCTGGGTAAGCAAGGGAAGAAGTTATTAGAAAATTCACACTCAATTAGGAAAGGTGGTTTGAGGTAGAAGTTGGTGGTTTCTTATTTGTTAAAAAAAATTTCTTTGACAAAACCCATTTAAAAGGATGAATGAAATCCAAAATTTGCACGTGTGTGTGTGTATACATACAAACACATATGTATACATGCATATATCCATATAAGACTATAAGAAAAAGTAGAGTTCTGAAAGCAAGTATGCTTATTTTTTCTAAAATTTCTATAACATTGCATGTGTAAAGAGAGTCCTAGGTATTATTTCCTGAGGCAGTATGTAGAAAAACAGCATATACATTTTTGAAGCCAAGATTTTTTGAGATCTTAAATTATCCTGATGTTTCCTATATTAGTTACTGACATCTCAGGACATTAACCTGGTCTTAGATTCCTAGTAGATTTTTAGATTGTTAGGTATGGCGAAAAACTGTATCCATTGGAAAATAAGAGAACATGTCTTGAGGAATCTGCTCATTCGTATTCTGTTAATATTCAAATATCCTGCCACTCTATTCACCCCAGAATTAACAAAGACTCTGAGCAACAGGAGATCCCACCATCCCAGGCTCTGTGTATAGATCAGGGACGATTGAAGCATGACATGGGACCCTAGGGGGTCACGGACAAAGAATAGACCCCAAGATTCAACCCCTGTGTCTGCACTTTCTACTTAGGAACCTCCTGATTCTGGGCTGAGAAGAGCTAACATCCATGAGCCTTCCCAAGATTCAGAGGGCACCTGTGACCCTTACCTGTCACGTGGCCATGTACCACGACGAATGTGAGGATTCCCCACAGCAGCAGGCTTGGCTCCATCTTGAGGGCAGTGAAGAGAAGGTGTTTCTCTGCAGAAGGCCAAGTTTCCAGTCAGCCTCTTATTTGTATCATGCTGGGAGGACGAGGGATGAAAAGATCAATCCACTCAGGGTGTCATCATGCTGTGGTCCCTCTGGTCTCTATGACAGTCCGAAGTTGCTCTCTATAAGTATTGGGCTGCTTTGGTGAGCCAGGAAATTGTGCCTAGCCCTCTCTAGTTTCAAATATAGGAAGTGGTTTTAACCAGGTTTTTTTTCAAGTTCAATTGCTGGGAGGTGTGGGTTGGGGTTGGTGAGAAGGATTGGACTTCATTTATGAATCCTTTCTTCAGCTTCACCCAGAAAAGGAAAGGGAGATTCCCCTGCTGCTGAAAGAGAGTGAGCAAGCACTTTGTGGCAGTGGTCTCATTTAGTGTTTCATAAATTGACATCACCTTGAAATTGAGGTCTTCCCCCAGACTTGTGGCTCCCTGAGGAGTCAGCAGGTGCCACATAGGATGAGGGGAGCCTAGTGGGGTCTTCAGTATTCAGGTAATTAAAAAGGAAGCAGAAGACTGACCCATATTCAAAATTCATGAATTGTCTGCCAAGATCTATAATCAGTAGTGTAGTGGCCACAATTGTTTCACCATGATGTCCAGGTTCCTGAATGTGAATTGTGATTTTACAAGATATTTTGCCTCCAGATTTGTCTTTCTCTTAAAGGATCATACTAAAAGTGGGCTTTGGTTTTAAACTTTAGACCTTTTTTTGCAAAATTAAATCATTCTTCATTGTTTAATTATCAGAGTTATCTTCTGATTTTCATGAAATGGTTGACTGTGTTTCCTACCTGGAAATTCACATCCATTAGCAATCATCTAATGATCACAGTATAATATGATCTTTTTAAGAAGTTTACTTATTTATTTTGAGAGAAAGAGAGCGTGAATGGAGGAGGGGCAGAGAGAGAGGAAGAGAGAATCCCAAGTAGGCTCCATGCTGTGAGCGCAGAGTGCAACACAGGACTCGAACTCACGAACTGTGAGATCATGACTTGAGCCAAAATCAAGGATTGGACACCCAACCCACTGAGCCACCCAGGCACACTAAAATACAATTTTTAAAATATTTGAAAGCAAGTAAATATATTGACAAAAGGAAGACCATCTTTTCAACCAAAGCAGTTCATGGTTCCAATATGTATTATCTCTACCCCTGACATTCTCTCAGAAAAGCAACTACCTCTGAAAAGAACCTTGGAATTCTGCAAATGAACTAAGAGTAGTTTCCTAACTAAGTACCAGAGTTTGCAGAGAAAACTCGTCAACTGATCTCTTTCTGGGAGTGGGATACTTATCAAAGCATGACAAGATTATTTTTTTAAGATTCCAGAGCAGGCTTCACCTCATGGCTAGAAACATTTTCAACTGTGTGGGTGAATGCAGCAATTCTGTTATCCCCAGAGTCTGTCCCAGTGACTGAACTGGAGGTTTTTGCTAGCCATAGTTATCGTTGTATAGTTTTTAAACAAACTTACAGAAAAAATATAATATGAACATCTCCCTCCAATAAACTAAGAGTAGTTGTCAGTGCGATGTTCTATTGCCCCCGAGTAGTTGAGTGTGTATTTCCTACGAACAAGGAAATTCTCCAACATCACTACAACCATCAATCAGGAAACCATATTGATGCATTACTACCAGGCAATCCTTAGACCCAAGTTTCTCTAGTTGTCTCAGTAATGTCCCTCACATCAAAGGATCCAGTTCAGAATCATCTGTTGCATCTAGTTGCCATGTGTCTTTAGCAGGTCCTTTGTCTTGGCTTTCATGACCTGACGTATTTGAGGATTACAAATGAGTTATTTTGTAGATTATCCCTCAGTTTGGATTTATTTACCATTTCCTCACTATTAGATCAGGTTTTGCATCTTTGGCAAGAATAACACAGAAGTGGTGCTGTGTCCTTACCATCACACCCTTCGATCCCATTACTGATGCCGTTTACTTTGGTCCTTTGATTGAATAAAGTGGTGTTATCTGGGTGCCCCCCGTTTCAAAGTCACTGTTTTCCTCTTTGTAATAAATATTGTGTGATATGATATAAATATCCATTATTTATTCACTTACTTAGTTGTACCTATGTGGACTCATGGTTTTTCATTTTATTCAGTGGGGTATAATCTATTATTGTCATTTCAATGCTCAAATTGTCTCCTGTTTGTCAACTGGAAGCCCATTCAAGCTGGCTTCTGTGACCTTTTGACGTGTCCCATCATTCCTCAAGTACCTCCTTGCTTTGGGGGCATAAAAAGATCTTCTGGGCTGGTCTTTGACTTTCTCTGTCCCAGCCCTGGAATCTGCCATTTATCCAGAAAGCTCTGGGTCCTTTAGAGGACAATAGTCTTGAGAAGCCAAGATGTGCTCATTGCTATTGGGGTACAGCTACTCCCAGGCTCTCCCAAAGGACTAAGCTAGGGGATATATGCATGTAAAATATCTGCATGTACACACACACACACACACACACACACACACACACACACTGGCTCACTCATCTTTACATCTATATGTATTTCTATATCCATCTACACATACTGAAAATCATGAGTTCACACTGATACATCCCAACATCACAATTCCAATCTACTACCATAGGGCTGAAGTCTGATTTTTTTCCTTTCCTATATTTGTAACTCCCTTCCCTGATGGCGGAAATTTGGTTTCCATTATCTCTAGTCTCTTTACTTTTCGATCAGTCCCCCTGTATGTTATCCATCTCTCATCTCTCCCACCATCCCCTGCCCCACATGGATCTCCTCCTTTCCCTGCTCAGGCTCTGAATGCCTCTTCTGATACAACCCCCAAACACTGAAGGAATGAGCTCCCCCTGATCAAGCTCTGATGCCCCTTACCAAGCTAGCCCCCCAAGTCCCCATGGATGTCCTTCTAACCCTGTTTGGGTGCTACAGTCCTATGCTGGGCCATTCCTTTTGGGGATGACCTCCTCCCCTTGCTTGAGTTTTGATACCAGCCCCATGTGTGAACCTGCTTTCCATTCCTATTGGGCTCAGATAGCCCTTGTCAGTCTGCCTGTCTTTGTGGACTCCTCTCACTCTGATCAGGTTCTGACTTCCCCCACTGGGCTGCTCCCTGTTGGGGACCCCTGCTGCACTCTGGGTGGACCCTGACTCCTCATACCAGACAGTATCCGCACAGAGACACCTTCCTCACTACCTTTGGGCCAGGACCCCACCATTCTGCTGGGTCACTGTGTCATCTTCCACTAGAAACCACATTGTCTCCCTTGCTTTGCCCTGCCTGAAAGGTTTAGGAATGAATTGTTCAAAGAAGGAAGGATTGAAAAGGAAGACTAGTGGCTACCATCAAGAGTAAAGTAAGAAAGAAAATAAGGCCAAAATGTGGAAACCAGACAAGCTCAGAGAACGAGCACAGATGTAATGAAGAAGCAAATAAAACCACGATTACCTCCAAGATGTTTAGTGTGTTTCATGTTTTTCTTAAACTCTAGAAGGTCTTGGGAATTAATTTTTTTGATAGAAAGTGACAATTATAGGGGCACCGGGGTGGCTCAGTCAGTTGAGGATCTGACATTGGCTCAGGTCATGATCTCACGGTTCGTGAGTTCGAGCCCTGCGTCGGGCTCTGTGCTGACAGCTTGGAGCCTGGAGCCTGCTTCAGATTCTGTGTCTCCCTCTCTCTCTCTGCCCCTCCCCCACTCAGGCTCTGTCTCTCTGTCTCTCTCTCTCTCTCCCTCTCAAAAATAAAGAAACGTTAAAAAAAAAAAAGAAAATGACAATTACCTAAAGTTCACTTCTCCTTCAATTAGATATCAGTTTCTTTTTTCTTTTATGAAGTTAAAGTAATATTAAACTTAATGATATTTATTTACAAACTGAGGATCAAAGAAATATTAACCAGCACTCACAAAGTACATTTGGGTTAAAGAGGACAGCACAAATGAATCTCACAAATTAATTAATTTCTTTATAAAATAATCAAAACGAGATATGATTTTTTTTACAGCAGAACCTCCCTCAGCACCTCCTAATAATAATTAGAAGAGCTAAATCTATTATATTTTATTAGTAACAAAGTAATAAAATATTAATAAAACAGATTAATAATCCTTTGCTTTTCATTTTTGTTATAGAAATTATATACAAATTATTAAAAGGAAAATAGCAACTTGAGGGATGTTTTAAACCAAAGAACTGTAATTTAAAAAAAATTTTTTAATGTTTATTTACTTTTGAGAGAGAGACAAGAGTGTGAGCAGGGGAGAAACAGAGAGAGAGAGAGAGAAAGACAGAATCTGAAGCAGGCTCAAGGCTCTGAGCAGTTAGCACAGAGTGCCCCACACGGGCTCGAATTCACAAACTGCAAGATCATGACCTGAGCCGAAGTCGGATGCTCAACCAACTGAGCCACTCAGGCACCCCAGATAATTGCAATTTTTTTAATGCTTTATTTATTTTTGAGAGAACACAAGTGGGGGAGGGGCACAGAGAAGGGGACAGGCGATCTGAAGTGGGCTCTGTGCTGACAGCAGAGAGCCAATGTGGGGCTCAAACTCACGAACCCTGAGATCATGACCTGAGCCATAGTTGGATGCTCAACTGACTAAGCCACCCAGGTGCCCCCAAATAATTGTAATTTTTAGGGGGAGTGTTGGCTTAGATCCTCATATCAGAGGCCACATTTGACAATCCTTACACCCTGTCTTGCACTGGAATGTTGGGGAAAGAGACAACGATAGAAATTGCACACTCCTCCAAAAAATTATCAGTTTGCCTTTAAAAGCTCACTTCTCCATTTTCAAGAAATTTCAGGTTGAATTTCTTCATTTTCTCTTGGAAACGTTAGGACCTGTTGCTTGTTCAAGTCAGTCCCAGTTGCAGAACCACGCGAAACTCTCTTAGTCACAGAACCGAGTCAACATGATAGTGTGATAGAAAAGTTGGTTGCTTACTCAGTTGAGTGATATCATAAATACATG